TGCCTTGTCCCCAGTCCCTCTCCAGCTCTCCTGGAGCCCCTTCAGGCCCTGCAAGGGGCTCTCAGCTCTCCCTGGAGCCTTCTCTTCTCCAGGGGAACCCCCCCAGCTCTCCCAGCCTGGCTCCAGAGCAGAGGGGCTCCAGAATCCCTGAAAGGTTTGGGTGGGGAAGGACGTTACAGACCGCCCAGTGCCACCCCCTGCCCTGGGCAGGGGCACCTCCCACTGCCCCAGGTTGCCCCCAGCCCCATCCAGCCTGGCCCGGTGCCCACCTGCAGCGCGTGCTGCTTGAAGAAGCGCAGGGCGTGGGCGAACACCTCCAGCGCCGGCATCTTCTTCCCGTTGACGGCCTCCAGCTCGGTTTTCATGGTCAGATCCTGCCAGGAAGAGCACATGGATCACACGAGGAGGTGCTGGGAGGTGGCCGAGTGCATCAGCAAACCCCTGTGCCAGCCGGAGCAGCCGGAGCACCTTGGTGCAGCCACATCCCCCTTCCCCGGGGGAGCCACAACATCACGCCCTAAAACGGGCTGAAAAGGGGGATTTTACCAACATTACAACCCCCAGCCTGGCCTGGGGGACCTCGAGGGGATGGGGTGGGGTGGGAGCAGGGCCTCACGCTGGTGCTGTGGATCTTCATCTTGAACTTCTCGAAGTAGAGCCACTCTCGGGCCTCCTCGGGGTCCAGGTCGTGGTAGGTGTCGCGGGCGGTGTAGCCGAAGCTGTGGAAGGTCCCCTCCGGGGTCAGCAGCAGGCTGGTGGGGGTCTTCTGGTTGGCCACCCCCGGGTCCCCCCCTTCCCATTTCCTGCAAGGAGGAGCCGGAGCAGATGAACCCCCGGGCCAGGGGGGTCCTGGAGGGTTTGATTTGTTTATACGGGCGCGACCTCGAGCACCTCAGAGGGACGGAGAAGGGAGGGGAGGGGTGGGTGTTGATCCGTCCTCCTGCTCCCCGGGAGGAATTTCGTGGAATTCCACACTGGATTGGGTTGGGAGGGACCTTAAAGACCACCCAGTGCCACGCCCTGCCATGGGCAGGGACACCTTCCACTATCCCAGGCTGCTCCAAGCCCCATCCTTGGACACTCCAAGGGATGGGGCAGCCACAGCTTCTCTGGGAAATTCGTTCCAGGGCCTCCCCACCCTCACAGGGAAGAACTTCTTCCCAGTATCCCACCCATCCTCTTTTCCACTGGGAAGCCATTCCCCCGTGTCCCATCCCTCCCTGCCTTGTCCCCAGTCCCTCTCCAGCTCTCCTGGAGCCCCTTCAGGCCCTGCAAGGGGCTTTCAGGTCTCTCTGGAGAATTCTCTTCTCCAGGCTGGACAGTCCCAGCTCTCCCAGCCTGGCTCCAGAGCAGACGGGCTCCAGAATCCTGGAATGTCTTTGGTTGAAAAGGATCTTAAATCCCATTGATTCCACCCTCTGCCCTGGGCAGGGACACCTTCCACCAGCCCAGGTTGCTCCAAGCCCCATCCAACCAGGCCTTGGACACTTCCAGGGATCCAGGGGCAGCCACAGCTTTTCTGCCCAACCTGGGACAGGGCCTCCCCACCCTCCCAGCCAGGAATTCCTTCCCAATATCCCATCTATCCCTGCCCTCTGGCAGTGTGAAGCCATTCCCTGTGTGCTGTCCCTCCATGCCTTGTCCCCAGTCCCTCTCCAGCTCTCCTGGAGCCCCTTTAGGCCCTGCAAGGGGCTCTCAGCTCTCCCTGCAGCCTTCTCTTCTCCAGGGGAACCCCCCCAGCTCTCCCAGCCTGGCTCCAGAGCAGAAGGGCTCCAGCCCTGGGAGTATCCTCGTTCCACAGCAGCCTCTCCCCAAGGAGAGGATGGATTTCCCACCCCAGCAATCCAACTTCCACCCATTTGGGGGCAAAAGGAGCCCTTTCCCAGCTGTGGCAGCCCCTCACCTCATCATGTGGATGGCCTCGGGGTCGCTGGTGAAGCTGAAGGCGTAGCCACTGGACGTGGTGCCGAAGTCGATGGCCACGACCACGGCGAAGGAAGGGCCCTGCTGGGAACGGGTCTCGCTCCTCTGCGGGGCAGGGACGGTGTCAGGGCCGGGCTGCAGCACCCACCCGGGGCTGCCTGCTCCCAGGAAAGGGGGAAAAACCCCGGGAAGGGGCTCATTTTTCCAGGATGGAGCCTGCAGGCGCTGAGGTGGCTGCGTGGTTCGGTGGTTCCCTGGTTTCCTCAACACCCGGCAGTTCCCCCTCCCACACAGCCCCAAATCACTGGGAAAAGGGTCTCCCGGGTTCCATGGGGTGGCTGAGCTGGTTCCAAGGGCACACAGGGATTTGGGCAGCCCCTGAGAGGGATGGGTTCCCGCAGCCCAGGGGACCTGCCTCCCTGTTTTTATGGTGGTGCTGAGCCCTCCTCACCCCTGACCCCTGAAATCTGAGCTGAGGTTGCCCAAAACCTTCACTGTGACCCATCTCGCTCCAAGGGACCTTATCCCAGCTGTCCCCAGGGGTCACCCAACCCAAAACCTTCCCTGCTCCCCATCTCATCCCAAGGAACTTCATCCCAGCTGTCCCCAAGTGTCACCCAACCCAAACCCTTCCCTGCGCCCCATCTCACTCCAAGGGACCTTATCCCAGATGTCCCCAGGGGTCACCCAACCCAAAACCCTCCCTGTGCCCCATCTCATCCCAAGGAACTTCATCCCAGCTGTCCCCAAGGGTCACCCAACCCAAACCCTTCCCTGCCCAGGTGTTTTGTGGGGTCCCTGCTGCTGCTCCCCCCGCTGGATTCCCTGTCCCTGTCCCTTGTGCCGTCCCTTCCCGCCCGGCACGTCCCGGTGGATCGGTGCGGATGTGACAGGCGCCGGATCCGTGTCACCTCCGCGCACGGCAGACACGGGGAGCTAAAAGCCCTCGTTAACATTTAATGTCCCGGGTTTGCTAAGTGCAGACACGAGCCGGCCCTGGAAAAGCGGGATCGGCGGGGACGAGGCGGCTGCCGCAGGAATGTGCCGGGGAGGATCCGGCAGGAACAGGAACGTGCCCTCCCACCCCGGGCAGGAGCGGCCTGGGGGCAGCGGCTCTGCACTGACGTTTATCCCGAGCTGGAAACCCCCCCTATCCCGGAAATCCCACGGACGAGGGGCCTGGAGAGGGACTGGCCCCATCCTGTGGTATTGGGAGGTGAGGGCGGCCAGACTGGGGGATCTGGGGGAGGGGGAGCGGCGGCCAGGGGAGGATCGGGAGGCAAGGACAGGGACACAGAGCCTGGCAGCCCCCGGAGACCTCACAACTGCCTTACTGGGACCCCACAATGGTCTTACTGGGACCCCACAATGGCCTTATTGGGGACCCCACAACTGCCTTACTGGGACCCCATAATGGTCTTACTGGGACCCCACAATGGCCTTATTGGGGACCCCATAATGGTCTTACTGGGACCCCA